ATCCCAACGCAAGGCCATTCTTCAGTAAGTTGCAAGCAAGTCTCCAGCGAGAGCGCGACTCCAGAGCGCCGGGAGAGCGATTCCTTAATAAATCGTAAGGAAGTCCCCAGCGAGAGCGCGATTCCTGAATGAAATGCAAGGTCTCGGGCGGGAGCGGGGGTCCTGGCTAAATTGTGGAAGTCTCAGGCGGGAGCCGTTGTTGTTGTAACCCGGGGGCCAGGGGCCCAGTTTGAGCAGGAAGACCTTCCGTGTCAAAAAACAGGGTGCGAGCGTCGAGGGGCACACTTTGATTGAGAAAAAGCAGTATGCACCGGTGGGGGGGGATCAACAAAAATTGTTCTTCAAAAGTGAGAATTCAACAACAACAACAACAACAACAACAACAACAACAACAACAACAACAACAACAACAACAACAACAACAACAACAACAACAACAACAACAACAACAACAAACATGTTAAGACTGTTCGCCCTTATATGCTCGAGTCTCCAATCATGCGTATCTCCCAAACCCTCGATACTCACCCTCTTCGTCTTCGATCGACCCCCTTTTGGGGGTATACCTTTCTTCCCTGCTGGTCGGGCCCCGCCAAGCGGCGGGGCGGCCGCGGACCGTCGGCCTGGCCAGTGGCAGCGCTGATCGGCGGGGCGGCCGCGGCTCGTCGACCCGACCCCAAGAGGGACGGACAGGGGACCGACCACGACAACGACGACGACGACGTCGACGACGACGTCGACGACGACGACGGCGACGACGACGACGAGCGACAGCGAGAGCGAGAGAGAACGACAGCAGGGCCACAAGGACACGAAGTAGGCCACGAAGGGCGACAGCGGCAACACGAAGGGAATGCGCATGGGGCCACGAAGAGCGCGAACGAGCGGGGGCCACGAAGGGCAGATAATGCGGGGCCACAGAAGGCAACGATGGGGCCACTGAGGGTAGCAACCGGGCCACATAGGACAGTGAGGGGGCCACAAACGGCGACAGCGGGGCCGCGAAGGGCATGCACATGGGGCCACAACGGGCGCGAGCGAGCGGGGGCCACGAAGGGCATACGTATCCTGGGCCGCGGAGGGCAAGGACGGGGCCACTGAGGGCAGCAACGGGGCCACGAAGGGCAGCGAGGGGGCCACGAAGGGCGACAGCGGGGCCACGAAGGGCATGCATATGGGGCCACCACGGGCGCGAACGAGCGGGGGCCACGAATGGCATACATCTATGGGGCCACGAAGGGCAGCGAAGGGGCCACGAAGGGATGCAACGGGGCCACGAAGGGCAGCGAGGGGGCCACGAAGGGCTGCAACGGGGCCACGAAGGGCTGCGACGGAGCCACGAAGGGCAGCGAGGGGGCCACGAAGGGCTGCAACGGGAGGCCACGAGGGGCTGCAACGGGGCCACGAAGGACAGCGAGGGAGCCACGAAGGGCTGCAACGGGGCCACGAAACAAAGCGAAGGGGCCACGAAGGGCTACAACGGGGCCACGAAGGGCAGCGAGATCCCGATTCCGAGGTAATCTGTGAGGGAGTCCTAAGCGTGAGCGCGACTCCTGGGTGCCTGGGTGTCTGGAAAGCGGTGCTTGAATAAATTGCAAGAAATCCCACCAGCCCTTTGGGCGTGAGTGGTTTAGAGAGCTCTCTCTGTCCTCAACCCCCCTTCTTCCCCTTCGGGGAGGGGTTTACCCCTCCACAATTACACAATATAAATACTACTCTCCCACTTCCCCTGATGGCGTCCGGAAGATGTTCGGCACCCCCCCGCGTACTGTTTTTTTACACACAGGATTCCCCGGAGTTGGGTTTTCGCTTGTGTTTTTTTCTAAAATGCTGCTCTCGCTGAGGCGCTGGCCTAATTTTCGGGCTCCCGCTCCTTCCGAATCGTGTTCCCGCTGCAGCGCTGGCCTCATTTCCGTGCTTCCGCTCGTTCCGAATCGTGCTCCCGCTGCAGCGCTGGCCTCATTTCCGCGCTTCCGCTCGCTTCGACTCGTGCTCCCGCTGCAGCGCTGGCGTCATTTCCCGTGCCATGCCACGGCATGCAATGCAATGCTAGGTTGATACTACGCTTTGCGGTGCTCTTCTACGCCATGCCATGCTGTGCTCTACAATGCATCGCGTACCCTTTCGGGATCATTGCCCTGCTCGACCTCCGACTGTGCGAGTAGAGAGGGGATCTGCGCCATGGTAAGGGATGGGAGGGAGGGGTAGGATGTCAGATATGACGCGAGCGCACCTAGCTTGCCCTACCCCCTCCCCCTGGACCTGGAGAGGGCGCCCCGCGGGTCGTTGGAGGGGTCTTTTTCGACTCCTGGGAGGGCCAAAAAACGACGACCCTCACGAGGATTCTGGCCCCCAGGGGGGGGGAGGGAGTTTGGTCCCTGAACTCGTCGTTGAAATTAAAAACATTGATTTTACTACGGTTTTGGCCCCATGTTGGCCTTCTGAGGGGGCCGCGTTCCTCGTCCTTCTTAGCAAAACCATTGATTTTACGAAGGTTTTG